CTATCAGTGCGTTCATAGTTAATGGGGAATTAAATAAATACGTGCTCAGTACATTGATATAGGGCCAGTGACGGATTTAGGCTTGATACCGATCTAGGCCCTGTTGATCGCGCCGCCTTTAAATCTACACAAATAAATAATTGGAGTGTCTTTTTGTAATAATAAAATAACTACTTTTTATAATACTAAATGCGTAGGTATGTATATACAGTACATATACCAAAAGAACATTTATTTTTATTTTTGTCTGTCTGTCTGTTTGTTCCGGCTAATCTCTGGAACGGTTGGACTGATTTTGACGGGACTCTCACTGATTAGTAGCTGATTAGTAGCTGATAATATAAGGAGTAACTTAGGCTACTTATTTTAAACTAGCTTCGCCCCGCGGGACTCATCTAGTGTTAGTATAAATTTTGGTCCAATATTTTTATATTTAATTGAAAATAACTTAACGTTTTACGTCTTTGAAATTTTGGAGCCCCTGAAATCATGCCGCCCGGGCCTCACGGATCTAGAGCGTGAATCCATCACTGTATACTTATGGCTGTTCGTGTCGTGTCCCACAGTACTTTTGCAATCCCCAGACGGGCACGTGTGTAAATGTTTAACATGTTCTTAGTATTGTTCAGTATTTTATATGATCATGTCAGGAAATTCGAAGCGAGCGTTGTATTTTAAACTGGAATTTAATTTTTAAAACGTTTTAAAAGTTATAAGAAAAAATAGTGTGATTACCGGACTAATATTTACTGGTGGTAGGACCTCTTGTGAGTCCGCGCAGGTAGGTACCAGCACCCTGCCTATTTCTGCCGTGAAGCAGTAATGCGTTTCGGTTTGAAGGGTGGGGCAGCCGTTGTAACTTACTTGAGACCTTAGAACTTATATCTCAAGGTGGGTGACGCATTTACGTTGTGGATGTCTATGGGCTCCAGTAACCACTTAACATCAGGTGGGCTGTGAGTTCGTCCACCCATCTAAGCAAAAAAAATAATTAAAAAATAATATGTGACACACTTACGGCTCGCCTCATATTAACCGATCTTTTGAGTTTACGGAACTTCAATTCCATCGCCGTACTTGCAAACTTCATCACGTCTTAATCAGTTTTTGTCTTAATGCCAATGGAACATCAACTATCCCGCTATTAGACCGGAAGACATGACTTATTCGTGATAGAAACAGGCAAACTAACCTACACCACGCTATTATTACCCTTTAAACAATTTTACTTGCGGTAGGACGTCTTGTGAGACCGTATTGTTATACACCCTACCTGTTTTTACCTAAAGCAGTAATTCATTTGAAAGGTAGGTGCAGGGGCAAGGGTCTTTGTTGTACCATAAAATTGAAACTTAAAACTCATGTCTTTTTTTTATTTTTTTATTGCTTAGATGGGTGGACGAGCTCATAGCCCACCTGGGGTTAAGTGGTTACTGGAGCCCATAGACATCTACAACGTAAATGCGCCACCCACCTCGAGATATAAGTTCTAAGGTCTCAGTATAGTTAAAACGGCTACCCCACCCTTCGAACTGAAACGCATTACTGCTTCACGGCGGAAATAGGCGGGGTGGTGGTACCTACCCGTGCGGACTCCCAAGAGGTCCTACCACCAGTGATCGGTGGCGACGTTTACGTTGTTAATGTCTATGTATTCAGGTAACTACTTAACATCGCATGGGCCGTGAGATCACACACCCATAAAAGCCATTAAAAAAATTACAGGGTTTTCGTGGAAGTTTTTCGTAAATACACTTTAGATACATAACTGGTACCAGCCCGAGATGAACCACGGCATATTGTGTCTGATGAAATTAAAATCATCCAAAATGCAGTACAATTACTGCGAAGCTACATATTTGTGTATTTTACGGTATAGGTTTTTTTTTAGCGGCACGTGGTCAGTTGTATTTACTCATATTAATCTCGTGCACGCGTGTGCAGTATTTTCAGCACCCATAGCACATAAAAAATTCCTAGCTGGGGTTTGATTGTGGATATTTGATTTAATTAAAAATAAATTATAAAAGCCTGTATTTCCTTTCTATCCTAAACTTTCATTCAAATGTGGTCTTTGTTTGTTAACGTTCAGCTAATTATTAATGTTTTGCTTATTGTCATGTTTTTCTGTCCTTGTCGATCGTTTGCCAGTCCTTTCCTATTATTTCGGTTATGTCGTCAGCCCATCGTCTATCCGGTCTCCCTACCCTTCTTTTGCCAATTGGCCCTTTCCACATTGTAGTGTTGACTGTCCACCTGGTGTCTCTTTTTGCTTTAATTATATAATTTAAACTAGCCGCCTACTCCGGTTCCGCTCGGGTCTTTAACAAAAATTTCAACGATATTTGACGTTGTTTTATTTTTTTAAATAAAAGAACACTTATTGCGGTATAACTACAATAACTAGACATATTATTATGCTGTCGCGACACTTTTTTTTAATTAATAATGTGTTCTACAAAGTCGTAGTACTTTATTTTATTCTATCATCAATAGTTTTCTCAGGGCACGAGACGTAAATATATTTTAGGTATTTTTTTTACACCTTGGGTTACATTATTGTAGTTTTAGTGAAGATCCTTAATTTTTTTTTAAAAAGATTATATGTAGCCTATGTCACTCGGGAATAGTGTAGTTTCTAAACAGTGAAAGAATTTTTCAACTCTGATCAGTAGTTTCGGAGCCTATTCAATAGAAGCAACAAACAAATCTTTCCTCTTTTTAATATTAGTATAGATTAAACAATGCAATTCTGTGCCGTAACATGCTGAAACACGTTTCATTAACCTCGCGTATTCCCGACAAAACTGGGATTACTGATATCATTTAATCCAGGCCGACAGTGCAAAGCTTAACGTAGCAGAAATCGAAAGCTTTATGTAAACACCACAATGACATGTTTCAGTATAAGTTTAATCCTAGCTTAACTGTATGAGGTTAAGGTTGATAATATTTACGTGTATATTTTATATTTTTGCACACTTGATATTAAATTTTCGCTGTCGTAATGATAGGTAAAGCCAATCGATTTAGTACTTCTTACACCATTGACAATCAAAATATATTATAAGAATTTTTTTTCCTACCTAAGCTGGTACCCTTGAGAGGCTATTCCAGCGTAACCTTGACTAGTAGGTGAGCTCACGGGGCTCAAACCTGACAACGTTGCTAACACGAACCCCAGCAAGAGCCGTGCTTCGCAGAATCTACCACCTGATCGGAAACGCGACCCACTGAGAAGATCCGGCGAGAAACTCAGTGGGCTGTGTCTGAGGGTTAAGTTGTAACAAAACGCAATTTGATTTACAGTTTTTTTAATCTCGTAAAATTTGAACAATTTTGGTGTAAGTGTCCCCGGCATTAATGATTTCCACGGGCAACAGCCGCATGGTACTCTGCCTTCGAAGTCAATAAATAAAAAACTCCGTTCCCTCATTAATCTGTTATGGTGGATACTTAATCTCTAACTTTTGTCCACAAACGCCGCTTGACACAATTTCGACACAGTTGTAGAACACAGAAATCTGTGTTCATTTAGAATAGCCATTCTTTAATTTGCAGTCACACAGTATGTGATTTTTTGTTTCTTTCTGTTCAGTGTGAGTTTAATGAAAAAACTATTTATATCAGAGCAAGTCTCGCTTGTAAAAATTGCTATTAATCCTTAAAGGCGACATTGATTTAAATTACTATTTTGATGCTTAAAAGTCATAAAATCATAATCGTTTAGTATAAACTAAACATTTATGATTTTATCATAATAATCGTGGTTTATATAAGGTGTCGTTAAGTTAAATATATTTTTAGCGAATTAATCACAATCAAGAATAGTATTAGATTAGTTTAATAATATAATAGGTATGAGAATAATGGCGGTAGGACCTCTTGTGAGTCCGCACGGGTAGGTACCACCACCCCGCCTATTTCTGCCGTGAAGCAGTAATGCGTTTCGGTTTGAATAGTGGGGCAGCCGTTGTAACTATACTTGAGTCCTTAGAACTTATATCTCAATGTTGGTGGCGCATTTACGTTGTAGATATATATGGGCTTCAGTAACCACTTAACACCAGGTGGGCTGTGAGCTCGTCCACCTATCTAAGAAATAAAAAAATAAAAATAAAAAAAATATAATATAAGATTAACACTAATAGTATCAGCCATCCTCCAAAGGTATCAAAGAATTTAAGACCGGTACCAGGAAAACACTAACTTACTAAAAGAAAACTTAAGCATTCAAAGTCAAGTTTGACTCAAAACTTGACTAGCAAACAAGGTACTTTTTGTTTATTCGCGTAAATTGAAAAAAAGAGCTTACATCTCGTCTGGTGTTCAGCACTAATAATTATTTATGATGAAATTTGTTCACGGATAATTGTGTCTCCTACATTCTAATAATTTTAGTTCATTTTTGGTATATATTATTTCAAATTGTGTATCGATTTAAAATGTGATGCTTAGAAAAATCAATTTTTTTTTTTTATATTTACAAATAAGATATATTACCTATTACTTTAAGATGAGTCGTAAATAAATAAAATCATTATTATTTTTTTAGTATCAGATAACCGCTATTTGATTTCTTAAAAATAATATCTTATGATTCGCATTAACTTCATAATTTGAGGTGATTGAGTTAATTACATAATTAAATACATATTTTTTTTATTTTTTTTATAATGTATATTTGCTAACGATCACGCCGCGTTAACTGGTCCCGTGCTAAGTTCGTAAAGAACTTGTGTTACAGGTACCAGATAACGGAAATAAATGTAATATTTTTATTATACACATACATATATAATATATAATATACATCCATAACCCTCGAAAAGACTTTTTTTTATATTTATCATACAAATATCTTCCCTTGGCAGGATTCGAACCCGCGACCCTCTTGTGTGGTGACCATGTCACTTACCACTACACCAGACGGCCGTTAATCACATTTAAAATCGATTTTTTTTAGACACGAAACTAAAAAAATACCATTTCAATTCCAGCTGCTACCTCGGCTGAAATGTACAATCGTGGTAGTCGCAACACTGTTGGGGCAATGGATGGTCGTGGACTAGTGGCAGTGATCAAGAGGCAGGTACCGCTGGCGGGCCAGCTCGACCACCAACTAGCATGGGGACAGGGCTGGGGCTGGGTGACATTACCCAACGGAGTATGGAGTGGACGTAAGTATTTTTCTAATTTTATGTAAATTAAGCAACATATTAATGGATAAATTAAAGGCTTAGTTAAGGATGTTATGGAATAATTCAATCTATACTAATATTATAAAGCTGAAGAGTTCGTTTGTTTGAACGCGCTAATCTCAGAAACAACTGGTCCGATTTGAAAAATTCTTTCAGTGTTAGATAACCCATTTATTGAGGAAGGATATACCTATAACATCACGGTAAGGCCAATACAAGTGGAGCGCCATAAACAATGTTTCGAAATAGGGGTATAAATAACTCCTTTACATTCTATAATTCAAAAATATTTTCACTTTCTACGTAAATGAAGTGGGGGTAAAATTTAGCGTTATGCCAAAGTAACTATTCGACGCGGACGGAGTCGCGGGCAAAAGCTAGTTTATTTATAAAATAAATGTGGAATATAAATAATAATTATGCAATAATCTTTCATATAATGCTTTTAAATTACGAATACTAATCTAATTTAAAGTCCCAGTTTAAAGGAGTTTGTTATGCACTAAAATTAAAATTCCGACCATTCGACATTGGCATAAACGTTCTGTAACTTTTGATAACCAATTAAGGTGAGCCGTAAACTTATTCACCAATCTAACGCAATGCTGGTCGATTAGAAGTTTATTCATAAAAATTGGTGAATAATAAATTGTCCAAGCTACCGGTTTTTATTCAAGTCTTTTAAAATTATCAGGTCTCACTTGGTCCCAAGATGGGGAAGATTTTGCGCTGCACGCCATGCCGATAATGCACCACACCAATGTGTCCCAAGCCTGCTCCATGCTGGACGGCGTCACCGCCTACGAAGCATCAGCTTACGAACAAGCCTTAGCAGAGTATGATGATACCGGAACATCCGATGACTGGGACTTCGGTATCGACTGTGGTGATTTCATGATGTAAACGAGAACATTATTCACGGTGTGGTCTTAATTGATTTATGATTGACACTGCCAAACTACTTACAGTAAATCAAAATGATACAGAGCACATACATGATGTTGTGATAGAAAGATTGACGATGAAATATCAAATGCCTAACTGAAGTTCTGAAATGTATCATGGCCTATAATACTGGAACTTGTTTGATCACTGAGCAAAAAAGATGAAAACATACAAACCCAACTGCAAACACAAGGATTCCTTATCGGGCACGCAAAATCGTAATATTAAGAGTCAGTACAGTATATTTTTTGTTCTATTTAGCACTTACACAGATTGCCATTGCATTTTAAAAGTCAAATATTGTGACGCCTTTGTGAATATAATTAAGGATGTAACAGCACATACAAGATAAATAAGAAAATCAGTGCTTGCATATCATAATGGTATTTAAGTTTCTTATAGCCATATCTAGAAAATATTAAACGAAATAGAAAAAGAAAACGAACGCTAAAACATTATAAGGAATCCTCAAGTTTGCAGTCGTCCAAAGTGTATGTGTTACTGTATCGGTCAAATACAGAAATCATAAATTTATAGACGAAAATCGTTTTAATAATGACCATTCCGTGAATAATATCGTAAAAGATCTATAATCCAAAAAGGTTCATAGATTAAAAATCACTACCGACAAGTCAAATTACCACGTGTTCTTAGTTATAGTAACTTTTAACATAATTTGCGTGTATTTTGTAATTTTTCAAGCGATTTAATTTACTAGATCATGATTAATGATATGAAACAGGAAATCAAAAGATTAACTTGTCATATTGTTCTCAAGACGATCCTACGTTGAGCAGTGCCAAATGTTTCTTGTAAAGATAAACTGTTGGAATTTGTTTTTAAAGTGCCGGTCACGATAAAATATTTACATATATTATGTGTATGTGCCAAATGTCGATTGAAATTGATGGTATTTATGTAAAAAACATTGAATTAAAACCTCTTTTTTTTTCGTTTTGCGTAGCTATAAGCACGTGTGACATAGACGATGCAGTTCATTCCTGAGAAGAAGTTGTAGGATAGAGTAATCGGCGAGAGCCGCATAGTTCACGGTGAAATGAGAATGGCCACAGTCAACCCGACGTTAATTGTGATGTTCTATGATCATTGTAGAAATATTAATAAAGGCCTACCTGACTAGACGGTTCTTTGGAAGTGATTTGAGCAGAATATAGATAATTTCAAGTAGACGTTGTTGAGACTTGCTAAATTTTGTCTCCTGATTGAAATACAGACAGTAACTTTGACAGTCTACGACAAATAAATAACTCGTTTTGGCTTTGCAATCCCTTGGGGATCAAACGGCCCGTGCGCAGTTTTCAGTTTCAAAGTCAGTCGGAAGGCAAAAACAAATTGACTTTTAAAAGGTCTGGAGTTTTGAACAGGGTAAACGAGTACTTTACGGCTCTCGAATATGAAATACAGATTCGGCCCCGTGTGTACTGCTCCGAAATTTAAATAGCTTCTATTTGACTACTTGTCTACTTGAAAAAGAATTTTGTCCTCACAAAATGTTGGAAGCTTCTGTGTTTTTGCCATATGCTCCTCGGAGTGTTCTGAGCAATGTCTGGGAGAATCACGTCATCTTCTTTTTACTATTGCACTCCACAGCAAAGAAGCAGAAATCGTCCATACCACTTGAAATCGCTGCGCTCGTTCACAGTAAGTTTTCATCCAGGTCTGTACTAAACACGCCTCTACGGTGTTTTCTGAATAACATTGGAAATGTTCGATCTTCCATGAAATTGTCACCCATGCTCTGTTAGACTATCGTAACCACTATACGTAGATTATCATAATCTCTATTTCTAACAGTATATTTTAAAGTGAAAGCTTATAAGTTCTCGTGTTGCATAAAAATCTCAACAGACATAAAAACAGTTTTTGCCCCTTTTATACCGCCGTCACAGTTCTGGTAACCCTATTCTTGATCTAAAGCAAAGCTAACTATGAACTGCATCGTCTAGATTTCAGCGTATAGTTATCCTAAGTTTTGTGTACTAATTGAAATTTGCTGATCAAATTTTCTTTTAGGCATTTTCAAAATTTCGAAAGTTAAAACAATGTGAAGTACCTAATAATTGCATGCTATCTAGTTGTGTGTCATAGAAAAATATGTGTGTAGCCATAAATAATAGAACTAGTAAACTATGGTGGTGGCCTACAATAATAATTTTCTTCGCACTTTAGGACAGACGAGAGTTTACGATAATTACCCTAATATGTCGTATTATTTTGTTCATTTGAAATTTTATAAATCTATTTCATTCATTTGGAAATCTTTTGACGGTTAATGTAAATCCGAAACTATTAAATTTTGTAAGACATTTTTTGAATGTTCTACGCCAAATTAACCAGGGTAAGATCAGATTATAATTGACATATTTTGTCTTTAAATAAAAAAACCTGATTTTTATTTATTACATCATTGGTATTGAGTATATGTTAAAACGACAGCAAAATAGGATTAGTACAAACCCGCTTAACCCTAATGACACCAATTATGAATATATGTACTCATGGGCTACATGGGTCCGTAATTAACTTAGATGTAAGTTGATGTTAGTACGTAGTGAATTTGGTCGGTAGAGGCAGATTCAACTAACCGAATGTGATATCCAAAATTAGACCTTTTAAGAACTATGCGTAGATTTCTAAATTGACAAACGCACCCAATAGCACAGCGTCTAATGAAAAATAATCAATGCTAAATAATATAACAACGGGAGTTACTTCAAGTGAGTTTACAAAACCTACAAGCAAATTTTTAAAAGGCCTAAAATCACCCATGATAATTAATACAAATGTTTGGCATAGTGTCGGTATAGTTAAATACTTAGTGATTTAGTACAATTATTGAGAGTTCTAGTCGCTAAAACCTCCCGACCTACCCAAAGACTGCCTATCGTTATATTACCTGATACCTGTGTTGTGTGTACCCTAGACATGGTAATCGCGAATATGACCCAGGCTCTGCGAATTGAGACACATTGCATGGTCTTGATTTAAAAAAAAAAACACATTCATTCGCTGAACAACTAAATAAATAGGCAAAAGAATAAAAATAAAAATAAAAACTACTTTGGTTATTAAGCCGATGTTTACAACAAAACGATATCCTTGCATCGTGTTCCCTAGTGCTGAGGGTCGTGACCTTTACGGAACACTGCTTGGTCTATGTTCCTCAATTATTTCCAGTCCTCTGCGCAGTAAATAGCGACATTAATGCTTGAGTCTAAAGCGATTATAACCTTTTATAAGATACCCGGATTGTTAGTATATTGATATTCCTTCCAAAAATATATTGATGAAATTTATCGAAATTAATTTTTTTCTACTACAACAAAAGTTGCTTAACTTGTTTAAGTCCATGAATAAATTTAGACTACAGTATACCAAATACATGGTCTAATCTTACTTGTTCTTAATCTGACCACATACAAAAATTGGTTTGTTTAACACTACAAGTCCGACTGGCGGAGCTTTTGTGCGTTTTTGTGAGTTCGTTGTTCCGGGCTGTTGGCGAAGATGATATAGAAATAATGTTTACACTGATTTGGTATTGAGGTTTTAATATAAAAAAGCGACACAATAACTAACATAAAATACAAAATGAGTTGAGAATCGTACAGTTAAACTAAGACGCGCAATATTTTACTGGTCGTCGTCGCGCGCGCTGAGGGCGTGTGTTTTCGCGCTCAGAGAGCTCTGTCTCAGCGGGGGGGTAAGGCGGCGACGGGGGCGGTATCGCACGTTCGGAAATTTCGTTCCGTTATATTTGTAAAATTTACTGTGAATTTAGGAGCCCACGGCAAGAAATTGCTATTTAACGGTAAACATATACCACCATGTTTGGTTCGTGATTTATTAATAAGTAAGATGAGACAGTAAAAGCTTCATTGAAAATCCTCTTCTCTTTCACTTTCTCGAGCTTTATTTCAACGACAATTTCAAGTTCGTGGTTGAAAGTGACAAAAAACAAAACACTAAGAACTTCTTGCTAACATTCCTCACTAAAATATAGTTTATTTAGGTACTTGGGTATTCAATTAGTGCTGACGGTATTACATAAAAACTGAGTTTAAAAAACCCGTAAGATCAACAATTAACTTAATGTTTTATTTTCATACGTCATCATCATCATCATCATCATCATCATCATCATCATCATCATCAGCCTTTATCTGCCCACTGCTGGACATAGGCCTTCCCCATATATAATATTACTCTATGCCTTCCCCAATGCCTTCCACATAATGCGGTCCTCCGCCTTCCGCATCCAACGACTTCCCGCAGTTATATTTTCATACATAAATGTATACAATTTGTTGTTACATACCCTACCAAACACAAGCATAGTGCTTACTCTAATGAGAATCTTTTAAATTACGGAGATCATGCAATGTGACTGATAGATGTTGTAGTAAAAAGTATATTAAATATTATTGTGTATGTACTTAAATGTAATATTATATGTAGTGGATATGTGATGTATGGTTATCGCAATGTTTACTTGATAAATTTCATATTCCAAAATTTTCTAAACGGCAAACCTTTATTGATACCTGTTCGTAATTTTATTAGCAAAAAGTATTTTCTTTCGATTTAAAGATTGGAATATTGAAAATGACATTGGGTATTACGCGGGAAATATAAGGATCATTAAATTAATACAGATAATACAAGCTGCTCGCAATTTTGAAAAGTTTAAAGAGAATGGACGTAGATTAGACATTGTCGTTAAAATTCAATTATACTTTTTTTAAGGAATAAAAATATTTCTTTCATCACTCCCCTGACAACGAAATTTAAAGAACGATTTGTTTATTGCAAATATGAATCTTAGAAACTACAATTCTTAATTAAGTCCTAATATTCTCGTTGTGTCAATCTCACTGTCAAATTTATTTTTCACGTTAGGTACAGGTAAAGTGTACCGTTTTGATGTTTTTGATAAAGTATGTCTAAGCACAAATATATAGTATTATTATACAGCGATAAATCGGCGCTGGCTTCGTCGAAAAATCCATATTTTTATAAGAAACAATTACTCCATTATATTTAATTTTTTTTTAATTTAAAAGTGCTATTTGTTTGAAACTGCTTATCGTGAATCCTGTCTGATTAGCAAAATATAAAGAAAGAATGTCTAATAATGCTTCTAAGGATCGGAAAGATATATTTTCATTTATATATTATTTATATTCATTTATTGAATTCTCTGGTGTTATTACAGCAGAAATTAAAAACCCAATTGGTAAATAGTGTAATCTATATACATTAAAATCATAATGTATTCCTTAGACTTGTTATTACAACACAGAATTGTCAAAACAATAAAAAACACGGAACATTTATTTACTAGGGATACAAATAATGATATTCATAAAATTCCAAAGAATGACTTATATTGTGGAGAATGTTTGCTATTTAAATTTTCGATTCCTGACGATGGTGACTGACACAATAAATACGCTATTGATCCGTTCGTATAATGTAATAGCACCATTGAATTTGTTTAATAAGTAGTAACATTCGACAAATAAAACTATATTTATCAGAACTTTAGCTAGTTCGTGATTGTGTGTAACTCGTGTGAGATGATAGTGGTTCACGTAAAATGAATGTTTGTATGTAAATTTTATAAATAAAAACGCCGTTAGGTGGTTTTGTTTTGTTTTATTTACTCTCCTAATTTATTTAGACACATATTCACATTTATTTACGATTATACGCTCTATTTATAAAAGCTCTAAAGCAGAATATTGATGATCAATGTACGAAAGCGAATTATGGACTTGTAATAAAAATCAAGTAGGTACCGCACAAAATATTATTTGTGTTATTATTAGTGGTGGGATGTCTTGTGATCCCCCTCGGGTAGGTACCATCACTTTATTTCTACCGTGAATCAGTAATTCATTGCAGTTTGAAGGGTAGTAGGTAAACGATACGGTTGATACCTCATCTCTGAAGGTTGGTGACGTCATGCACGTTCTTATATTATGGGCT